ACCGCTGATATCGGAAAGTGAAGTGGAAGAGGCCATTCAAGAAGCAGCGCCGCTAAAGGCTCCAGGCCCCGACGGCGTCACCAACAAGGCACTTCAGATAGCGAGACAGTGGATCACACCACACCTCACCCGCATATTCAATCAGAGCCTCCGAATCGGACACTGCCCGCAACACTTCAGAAAGTCTACCACAGTGGTGCTAAGGAAACCAGGCAAAGATAACTACACAGTACCCAAAGCATACAGACCGATAGCCCTCCTAAACACGATTGGCAAGATCATGGACGCCATCATCGCAAAAAGACTAAGCTACCTCGCTGAAGCACACAGATTACTACCAGAAAGCCACATGGGAGGAAGAAAACAACGATCCACGGAAAATGCACTGCACCGAATAGTCGACCAGATATACGATGCCTGGGGTTCAGGAAAGGGAAAGGTAGCGAGCTTACTCCTCCTGGATGTGTCGGGTGCCTTCGACAATGTTTCACATCGCCGACTCCTGCACAACCTAAGAAAAAGACGAATAGACGAAGCAACGGTACGATGGATCGCAAGCTTCCTTGAATCACGAGAAACAGAGATCCACGTGGACGGATTTCGATCCGAAGTATACAGAATCAACACCGGCATCCCCCAAGGATCGCCCCTGTCGCCCATACTCTATCTCTTCTACAATGCGGACCTCCTAGACAGCTGCAACGAAGCTGAAGGCACAACAGCCACCGGCTTCATTGATGACGTGGCGATCCTAGCAGTAGGGGACAACACCGAGGACACCTGCCAGAAACTCCAAGAAGCGCTCCGGAAGGCCGAAAGGTGGGCCTTCACTCACGCGTCCGTCTTCGCACCCGAAAAGTTCCAGCTCACCCACTTCACACGAGCGAAAACCAGAATCAACACAGACACAACGCTTCAGAGCCAATGGGGAGAAATCAGGCCCAAGACAACCTGTAAATACCTCGGCCTCATCATGGACTCATCCCTCAAGTGGAAGCAGCACATCGACGAGACAGAACGCAAGGTAACCAACACCATCACAGCACTCAGCAGCCTAGGCAACTCCACATGGGGCGTAAGGACTAGAGAGATGAGAACAATCTACAAGGGAGTCGCCATACCACAGATGATGTACGCGTGCTCGCTGTGGTCGAACAGTGGATGGGGAGAGAAGGGGTACACCAAAAGGACACTTCACAGATTGCGAAGACTCCAAGCCAGAGCAGCCAGAGCAATGAGCGGGGCGTACAAAGCAACCTCGTTTCCAGCGCTAGACGTAGAGATGCATCTCCTGCCAGTTGAACAACAGATATGGAAACACAATATCGACACCGTCAGCAGGGTAGGCACAGCTGAAGCCCCCGCACGCAGAGGAACGAAAAGGAGCCCGAGACAAAGAATAACGAAACGACTGCTTGACGGACAAGAGGCAACCAACGAGGAGACTGAGCATATACCGCCCTTTGTTACACCCCCATGGTGGCAGGGCCCGCGCATCCTTATCGCTGGAGGAGCAGAGCAGGCCGAAAAAGCACACCAACGATGTCTAGAACAGAACACCAATGCAGTCCACATCTATACCGATGGCAGCGGCATTAACGGCCAAGTCGGAGCCGCCGCAGTCTGCACAACTACAGAGCAAACCAGAAAATCATATATGGGAGACGACACAACATCAACGGTCTATGCGGGAGAGTTGCAAGGGATCGTCCTAGCCCTCGAAATGGCCCAGGCAGACAAGGAAAACGGAAACCACAGGAGCAAAGTCTTTATCCACACCGACAACCAAGCCGCAATCAGGTCGTCAGCCAAACCGAAAGGGAAGTCTGGCGCATATCTCCTCGAGATCATCGCAGACAAGACACAAGCCCTCCGCGAACAAGGACTCGACGTCGAGCTCCGATGGGTCCCCGCCCACATCGGCATCCAGGGCAACGAAGCAGCAGACGCCGCAGCTAAAGAAGCCACAGGATGGAGACAGAACGGACAGACGGGCGCCAAGGCAGACAAGCCGAGAGCCCTGTTCAAGCTTAGGTCCACAATCAGGACCTGGTCACACAAGCAGTCGCACCAAAAATGGCAAACCGACTGGCAAGCTGAGACGCGAGGAAGAACGTCGTTCCGTCTCACGCCGAAGCCGACAAAGAAGGTCCTTCAAGCTCACGAAGGGCTCAGCAAACGACAGAGCGCGCTTCTGGTCCAGATGCGCACCGAAAAGATCGGACTCCAGGATTTCCTCTTCAGCCGAAGAGTACCGGGCATCACCAACGCCAACTGCCCGTGCCGGGAAGGACGACAAACGGTATCGCATATCCTGCTGCGATGCCGCAAGTATCGACAGCTCCGACGTCAGGAACTCGGAGCCCTCCCAGGACGACACAATCTCCGGGTCATACTGAACGAGCGCAAAGCAGCCGCCAAGGCAATCAGGTTCATAGAACAGACCGAGATCCTTGGGCAATATGGGATCGAGTCGCAACCCAGACAAAGCTGAGCATTGGGGGGAGACTGTAGGTAAACGGAACCATCGCAAGAGGCATAAAACCTCGACAGAGCCTAGGCATATATGTACGTTAGTAGAGAACCGCGAACTACACTTGGTGGGGGCCAGGAGTAGATGAGGTTGGAGAGCAAAGTGGGAAATTTGGAGACAGCTGGTCGATGTTTTGCATTGGCGAAGTGGGGCGCGACGGATTAATACCCGGAGCGCGTCGGCTGTTAGCCAAACCCCGCTATCCGGGCATAGCTGCTGACTAAAGCGGCCAAAACCGAGTAGGAAATCAAGTCAAGTCAAGTATAACCTTGTCTTGTAACCGCTAGGCGCCCGTGGGGCGGCCCTGGTTATGTTATGCTTGTTGGGTCGTAACAAATAGATCCATCCAACCGAGCTTAGCTAGTTCCAGATAACGCGAGTCGAGCCAGTCTGGGCTTAGAAAAGCATGATCTCTGATGAGCCCAGTCCTATTCAAGGTGCAGAGCAAACCGTCTTTGTCAACAAATGTAAGAGCATCCTATCTCTCCGGGGCAGGATGTTACGGCCCAACCAGTTGGGGTGCTGGCCGGCGTAACTATATAGTGCAGAACAGGGGATAATGATGCAGGCGCATCATTACCGAAGCTTTTGCTTTGTGCCACAGTTGGTTGCCCTGACCTGCTCGTAACACAGGAACACAATTTTCTGCGAGGTTTTCATGCTGTATGAGTTACAATACTTGAGAAACCCGCTCCATGAACGATTGATGTATCGTATAAATGTGTATTTGTCTGAGAGCGGGCTCGGGATGAGGCGCTCACTTCGTCGATGTCAACGTAGAACAACCGAAGCTTCTCCGGTTGATTATTCTGGCGAACCTACCTGCACAAGTACCTGAAATCCGTTGAAGTTGAAATACCCCTGCGGCTCCAGACTGCTCATCCGCAGCATGCACAAATCATGGGGTGCAAACCCAAGCGCATATCTGGATTGTTGGGGTGGGTTGACTCCAGTAATTGGTAACACCAAATATCGCCATTTTCAGCACATGTAAGAATAGATGTGTCATCTTCACTAAATGCCATGTCCAAGATAGTGACGGCTGAAGGAGCGCTGAAGGTCCAGGTCGGGTGTACTTCATCTATTTGCCAAATCCTGATGGCATGAGTACCGTACGTCGCCAGCATGGTTCTCGACTTGCTGAATCGGAGTTTCTGAATGAACTCTCCGTTTTGTATAATGGCATTAGAAGACAGACCCAGAGATGGGAAAATGAGAACCTTTCCCAAGACGGACATCATAGATAGCGCAACGTACCGCTTCATACACGCCACATTTGAGAAACCCCGTCGAACTGAAACTTTTGCAAGCAGGCCGTCCCAGTGTCGACGAAAGACACCCCTAACTCGAAAAGGATGTGCTCCGCGTGCGTATCTGGCTTGAATGCGAAGCAACGAAGACCCAAGGCAAAGGGGTGGAACGATGGCATAGATCGCCGTTGGGTGCTACAGGAGACAGCCTTGCAATCTTCCAAGGATTTGTAGCAGCTTGTCAGCCCAGAGTCCCGCAAAGATGTACGCGCGATGACCAATTGTTGACTGTACTCTCATTGATTGCCATATTGCTAGTGAATTTGCTGCGGATACGATCAACCTGGACTGTTTATTCTTGGCCGCCCAGCATATTCACTTAACCATGGAGCCTCCGACAAGGAACTCCTCAAGTAGAAACAGTAGCTGCTCGCCTGTACGGTCAGAAAAAGATTCATTTGTCTTATTTTTCGCTAAGTCGAAAAACATGGTGTTCCCATGAAGCCATCGCATAGCTGCGAAAAGGCTCTGTCTCATAAGGCCTTCGGGATTCTACGCCCATCTCGAGTATCGCCCGCAAGCAAACCTCCGCAAGCTTTGTGGCCTTGAGGATAACGTCGGATACCTCACATAATACTCGCATTGTTGGAATAACAGCACCAGCTGGTTGTACGACACGCACGACTCAGGGACACACATCATGGCAGAGGGCACAGACTGGATATTCGGCCCTCGGTTAACCATTGAGGGGATCAAAAGTGTATTCATGCCGAACTGACTCAGGGACGTACGAGATCATATATCTCGTGTACGAAAGCCAAGTCTTGTAGTTAGGAAGATAATCACGGAAAAATATATCTTTGGTTCACCCTAACTTTCAACCCGAGTACGATCGTACAAACGGGTTCTCTCAGGAAGAGAGAATCCATTCAACACGCATAACACATCTTTCAAACATAAACTTTACTACATTATAGCAGTTGCACAAGCTACTGCCAGGGGAATACTGGGGTTTTATTATTTTAAACGAATGAATTGTTGGTCGGTAAATGTTTCCCATCAATGGAATAGTAAATGACTGCTTGTGAGACAGTGGCTCAAACGCGATCCTGAGTCTGAGTCGTGCGTCTTTCCTCGGCCACATTCTGATTGTAGCTCCGACTTAAGAAACTAATGATTTGCCAACTCATATGACCAGGAAAATATTGTCTAATAGCCTATGAACACCCATTGGGACGGTCAGACAAGCATTGGGTGGTACAAGTGTTCCCAATAAGGGTGTCACGGCTCAGGCCTGAGACCCAACCGCCCGACTGGCATTGGTTATTGACCTTCTGGGCAGCAGGAACCAACTGAGAATAGTATGCGTTCGACAGGGGGTTGGCCCAGCTGACACAGCAGTTGCCGCCAGACCCGGTCAGACAAAAAGAGCGCGGGCTCGAGGGAACCGACTGGCCGGATCGTGGGCCGGCGATGGAGACGATCAACTGCGCACAGGCACTTGCTGGGCCCTGATGAGAGCCTGAACATGTGACTGCGTTACTGCCGCAGCGACGGTTCAGGCTGGTGGCCTCGTTTTCAGGGGCCCTCTTCGAAATGGGGCTGTCTTCAGCGTCACCATACCTGACCAATAGGTAGGTTTGTCAGCTTGATCGTCAGTAGAACACTAGAGGTTTTGGCTTACCAAGTAGCTGTGCCGAACTCGGTTTCAAACTGCTCAAGCACTACAAGGCTCTCGGGGGCTCTTTTGGTGGTTGGAATGGCGTTGGTAAGACCAGCTGCAAAAGCTGCGACCAGGACGGATTGTTGAAGCAGAAGCATGATGATGCTGTGAGATCTTAGTATCCGAAATATCGGATGTTGTTGGATTGTAATGATTCAAGTTGTGTTGATAGCCTGTAACTACTGAATATGGTATTTTCTCATGTCAGACGTTGGGTACTCGCTCGGTTTTTATAGATAACTTCAAGGTCGATCCCTTCTTCATATGATACCTTTTTTGATTCGGTTCTGCACAAGTGGCCAAGTTCGGTCTCTATTCAGTCCGTCAAATTTGCCGACACATAAGTTTCGTCAGTCACAATTCTCGAGATAGAACCAGCATACCCAATCTCACCTATTACAGACAAAATCGGTATCAACATCCTCGCCCTATAGGTTCGCGGCCCGTACCGCAGCAATACTGGTCCGAGTGATATGGATCCTCTCCAGGTACGCTGACTCATGGCCCTGGCAACCTCATTGGCTAGGACAGGGAGAGATGCATCCACCCCTGCAGGGTCTTACTCACATGTAGCCATCTCGTGGGTCCCAATTTCCATTTACCGTCGTCTTCATCTGGCTTTTTGGCGTAACAATGCCTACATTAGGCGGTGATGCTGTTTCTTTGTCTGCGTCGATTAATAACGGATTGCCGACAAATCATCGCTAAGGTGGAATTCCGCTGCGCATTATCCAGTCTCTCATCAGCAGAAGGGGTCAAACCATGTTTGTATCCATTTGAACTGGAACGCTACCACTTTCAGTGTCCTGTCAGCCTTAAGGATGTCAGCCAATAACATGATGGGACTGCTTTTATAACCCTATAAATTCAGTAATCAAATGTGTCCTGGCTGGTGCAACGCTAGAAGTGGCATGCTCGGGCTCAAATGAATACGTGTAATAGCTATGCTATATAACCAGACCTGGTCTCCAATCCTAAATGTCACAAAACCACTATAGCATCGAACTCCAAAGCACCATCCTCCAGTAATTTCGAAAATCTCACAAGTCACATTGATTAGTTTCTCAACTTCCAACATGAAGCTCTGTTCTGCATTTATTAGCTTTGGCCTTACTCTCCTCGCTATGACTACGACGACATCTGCTGCTGAAGATGAGGTATGAAATACTGCATCTGATCATGTAATTGGGCTATAACTGACAGCGATAAATTTTGGAAAGGAATTAATGGCGGTGAAAGGCCTCACGTCAGCGCTGAAGTGGATACCCAACGGCCTCCGACACTTAGGCTCAGACGGCGTGCTGCGTGTCGTCGACAGCGGCACGTTCCAGGTCACAGACTACGTTCGCCTGAGCCAGACACAGATCCTCAACTTCATCAACCTGCTGCCCCTGGGTGTTCGGCCTGACCCTGCGCAATTCAACAATGTGGATGGAACCACCGTTTCTGCGGCCCAGGCCCAGTTTCCGCCGCCCGAGATCTACGCGTCCATCCAGGAGTCATACGCCAAGTCGAAAGCTGCGGTCGGACTAGGAGATACGAGTAAGGTTGCCCCGAAACCTGAAGCTGTGGAGGTGGAAAAAAGGGATTGCTCGACTGAGGTTTGCCGTTATTCGTCCGATTGTCCCAGCGCATGCATTTGGTGTCAGCAGGTCACGGGAGGCTACGGCTTTTGCCTTGGGTTTTGAAGCGCAAGCAGCTTATGTTACGCGGTGACAAACCTAAGAATGAGTGCTATATTTGCCTCGTTCTAGGCTCAGGCGCAGCGAATCATTTGGGTCTTTTCCGTGGCCTCCTCTTTCATCGTACATGCTAGTCTCAGAGCTCGCTTCAACCCAGTCAAGATGCACAGGACCACTAGAAAGTAACAAGCAGAGGATAGAAGATTAGTTTACTGTAGCAAACTTCGCTGTCTCTCTTACGACGTCCATGCATGATGACCAGTCGTCAGGGTCGGAAGCTGCTTTCCCGGCAGGGCAGCGTCGACCCTTTTTGAAAACTCCCATATGCCTTCAGGTAATCTACAGTACTTCTGTATGCTCTTTAATGCGTCTTCAAGAGGAGTTGAGTAGGCCCTAGCTGAATCCTTTTTGGGCATTTTCCCTAGTTGCGTACTCTCCTTCGCCGCTGTTTTGGCCTCGAGCTTGAGGTCAGACTCTACTCCTGCCGAGAACTAGAAGAGTGATAGCTTATTGACCTTGCTCTGAAGAGCGCCCGTTGCACTGTACAAACGATGGGTCTCTCGTTGACCCGATTGTTGTCGAGATTGGGTAGGAATGGTTTAGGCTCTATTAGTACGTACAGTATAGAGCATAGATCTCTTCCTCTTTTACACAAGCTTTCAATGTTTAGGAGAGCCAGAACCTGCTGTTACGTCTGTTTCAAACGTCTGTCATTGGCTGTGATTGCCTGTTTGCAAACAAAATGTGGTGTTAACGTAGCTTACGACAGTGCGAGTGGTCTCTCACCCCTGAAGCATACTTGATTACATTCATTTTCGGCCGCGGACAGGGTCGATGCTTCCTTTGAAACGCATCAATGAGCTGTGCACAGTGCTAAGACCTTTAAATTGAGCCTATGTAGGGCAAATTAAGAGAACTGAAGTGTGTTTCTAAGAGGAAGAGATATATGCTCATAACTGTATGTAACAACAACAGAAGGACTAAGTCAGTCGTTGCGTTACTGTAGATAAAAGTAGAGGCCTTTCTAAGAATAGGTGATTATACACACATACTGTACACACACACACACACACACACACAATTTATTACGCCCGGCGGCAAAGCCGAAAGGGAACCTAAGCTGATTACATCTACATTGCTGAGCTTGTGTCCTTGACTCCTTGAAGCCTATAAGCGATGTCTCTATTTCCGGCTTATTCCTCCAGATCTGTCTCCTTGCTTCGAATTCCCGTGGTTTGGTCGTATTATTATAGCATGCTATCTTGGAGCCTATTCTCCAAGTGTTCAACGTCCTGTCTACGGCAGCTGAAGCGGTGCGTGCTGTCTGTGGCACGGGTTGTTAGATGGTTACTCAACGAAAGGTGCCCAGGGTTGATGGGATCAATTTCTTGGCGCGAAGTAAGCTGCGTCTTAACTCAACTGAAAGGCGTAGATCTAGGGCCTACTTGATCTGTCGCTTTGATAAGTCCCGCTGTTGATCCCAGAAAACTAGGGCGGGTGTCTGAGTCGGTCTTCGGGTTTCCTGTCTGCTCCGCTAGATGCCCTGCGACGCCTACTCTGACTCGCCGAAATCTCTCGCGTGGATCTTGTTCCCGGAGACGGGCAACAGAAATGCATTGACTCATGAACGCTGCAGATTGCGGCCGACGCCCAGTCATGTTATATTGACGTCTCTACTATCTGTTGTTCTAGGCTGCGCGACCAACAAATCAGCAGCAGATCATCTACGATGCCGCTGACCAACTGCTGAAACATCATAACAAGGGCATGGCTGTCTAGCAGCCTTGAGGACAACCTTTAGCAGAGAGCGAAAGGAGAAGCATGCAAAGCATGCCGAGAGGGTGCTTCCACAGAGGAGCAGTTCCAAAATGTCCGATAAACAACCCCCAATGCCGCCAGGCGCAAACTACGTTCTGAGAGGCGATTGCCAGACCGCGTTGGGAAGCAATCCAAGAGAACCGACACAACGCTAGCCGGTAAACACACTTGAGAGTTATAGGATAACCTGTCTTAGACAGGGACAGGTATGCTGGCACAACTCAGGACAGCTTGGCGAGACTGAACGCGTCACTTTTCCGCACAAGAGCAGCACCTTCAGATCAATACACATGCGGACAGGGAAGAGAGACAGTGGAGCATTCCCCCTTCGATGCACATGATGGATATCACAGCGCACAGGGGATACTCCAATGCCCCGACACACAGAGACAACATCTCCTTTCATCAAGGAGGAAAGACACCATCCGCTGACGATGATGATACTTTGACAAGGGCCCAACACGCACGCAATCCCACTACCCTTTCCACTAATCTAATCTATACCTATACGATAGAGCTTCAGGTCAACAGGAATACAGTCTATCGATGGCGCATTACATCAATTATACAACGAGAGTATAGTAATATCTCAACTATATACTCAGTCTATTGTACGCAGCCATGGAATATATCGTGGCCACTAGGGTCTAGTAGCCTGCCAAAATTTCGGCCGAAATCTTCTCGGCCAAGACGTAAACGGTACTCTGAGGGTGACCGGGAGGCAACAAGGCAAAACTACTAGCGTCCACTACTCTTAGGCCGGAAACACCAATGACCTTGGCGTCCTTGTCGACAACGGCCATAGGGTCGTCTGTCTTTCCCATACGACAAGTGCAGCTTGCGTGCCAGATTGTCATGACAGTGTTGCGGATGTTCTGGAGGATCTGTGCGTCTGTCTCAACTTTGGAACCGGGGAAGTACTCCTTGTTGTCAGCCAAAACCGGGCGCATGGCGTTGCTGGCGAATGCCTGACGAAGGCGTTTAAATGTCGCGATCGCAACGGCAACGTCGGTCGGATCAGTCAGCCAATTGGGGTCAATGAGGGGCAGATCCTTAGTGTCGGCCGATGCAAGGGTGACAGTACCCTTGGAGAGAGGAGCGACCAGACCACCGAGGATGGTGGCATACTGATATCCGTCCTTGGGTTGTGTTAGGAGAAGATTGGCAAAGTCACCAACGTAACCCGGCGCGGTCAGATACTCGATCTCAGGCCAGTCGGGAGGGAACTTATTGTCGAGAACAGCAGCGGCTTCCGCAGAGATGAGATCGCGAGGCGTCTTCTCCCAGCCGAGGAAATCGCAGACCGGGTTGGTAAGTGGACCCTGCTTGAGTACACTGTAGGGTGTAGCGAACTGAGCAGCAGTGTAGATCAGGTCGTTGGCGAGACGGGTCAGAGTCTGGACCTTGACACGCCATGTAGGACCAAAGAAGACGTGATCCTCCATGTGTTTGCCGACACCGGGGCGCTCCGCGATCACGGGAATTTTAAACCTGTCGAGCTGCTCCTTGGGACCGACACCAGATACCATCAAAAGCTGGGGGCTCTGGAAAGCGCCGGCGGATAGGATGACCTCTTTGCGGGCCTTAAGAATGTATGTGGTCAGACTGGGGTTGGAAGAGACGACGACGCCTGTGGCTCTCTTGTTATTGTCGAAGAGAATCTTTTTAGCAAGAGATAACTGGTAGACCTTCAGGTTCTTGCGGCCGATGGCCTCGCTAAGGAAGGACGTCTGACTGGATTCACGCTTCTGAGAGTCGGGTTGAATGGTGTCAGCACAGTACTGGGCGCCCATCAACTTGCCACTGTTGAAGTCTTGGGCTTGGGGGATGCCGATCTCGTTGAGCGAGGGCTCGAGGTAAGTGCTAAATGGCTGGGCATAATTGGCGTAAGAGACATCAAGAGGTCCTCCCGCAGGAGAGAAAGCGTCGGGGTTATACCCTGCACTGGCATTGGGAGAGCGAGAAGAACCGGGTGGCGTGAACTTGACGCTCTTCTTGAAATGCGGCGATAGCGCGTCCCAGGTGTAGCTGTCATCACCGACAGCGTCTGCCCACTTTTGATAAGACTGCTTGGTACCGCGTTGATAAATCATGAAGTTACGAGCAGAGCTAAAGAAGTTTGTTAGAGACTTTCTCAACTGGCATTGCCAAACAATTCATGAACTTACCTCCCACCGAGGCATTTACCACGAGCATAGTGGATGCGACGGTTGTTGGCTCCAGCTTGGGCTTGAGTAACGAAATTCCAATCAACGAGCGGATTAGTGTCGAGCGGACTGGACCCAGCAAACAGGGTATCGCCAGCGGGCGTGTTACCGATGACAGGGTTGGTGATCTGGTAGAACGTGCCGGCTTCGATAACAGCAACGGTGACATCGCCCTTGGCGCTCAGCCTGTTGGCCATCACGAGACCAGCAGTGCCACCGCCAACGATGACATAGTCGAAAACCGCGTCCTTCCCAAGTTCTCCAGCACTGCTGCCCAGCTGGCGTTTGTGCTCGGCATGTTGACGAGCTTCGTCTTCGGCAGGGGCGGCGCTAGCTAGGCCGAATGCGGTAATGAACGTGGTAAGAGTGTGAGAGATACGCATTGTGAAACACGGATCAGTGACGGTCTATGTGAACGAGAGTGGAATATGGACCCTTGAAATCCTGAAGAGCCCACTTGGTTCCTCGAGGGATCAACAAGGTACTTGTATGAAGCCCTCCGCACCAAGCTCGCACAGCATTCCACACGTCTCGCCTGGATTTAGACAATCTTGATTCCCATTTACTAGCCTCTAAAGAAACTTTCACCTAGACTGGCGAAGGACTGGCGCAAAACCGTGGTTGTCCAGGACTCTTTTCGACCTGCTGGACGTGTCGTATTGCGTTCTAGGTCAAGGTTGCCAGCATTAGCGTGCGAAAAGATCTGACTACTGCAGTTTCTGGGGGGCCTTCCATCCAGGCACCGTTCCTAGGCCCGTTTTGGTCCGACAATGGCTTGTGGCTTGGGCCACCTGGAAAAGACCAAAGACGGAACAGAACCGGTCATTGTCAGGTGCAAAAGCACGGCATTTGCGGGCATACAGGGGAAAATGACGCCAAGCCCTCAATTGACTTTCGACAGTCGATTCAGGGAGGAGTCGAAGTCAAAGTTCAAATGCTCAGAGGCTTGTTTGTCTCAACCCGGAAGGGTCGGCTAATTGT